TGCAATGTCATATTTTTTTTATATATAACTCTAACAAGTAAGTGTTAGAGTTAAATATGTAAAAGTGGTAAAACACAGAAAATGTCGGCTCGACCGGAGTGATACCACGGCCTCGCAGAAAACTGACGTGAAGCAACGCACGCACGGAGTCCGGAAATGTGCCCAGTATATGGCAATAGGCTCACCTGGGCAATAGGCTTACATGGGACTCATAAGAAAAATGGGTGTTACATACAAGGTGTGTATAGAAAAAGTAAGCTTTCAAGTGGTGAAATATATTTATATTAATCCAGTGGTTTATTTACGACTGTACGTAAAACGTAGATCAAAGTTATTTAAGCTAATAGACTAATCTATCTCTGACCCATATTTCATCCAATTCTATGCAGTAATATGCATATTTAGGCAGGTACTTAGGTAGGTATTATGCAGTTTTGCATAATACCTGCCTAAATACACAGACAGATATACAGAACGTAAAGAAACACAAAGAAATGGTTTTAAGTACCAATATTTATATGTTTATCACGCGTTACAATCCCAAGCGACGAAGATTTCATTCAATATGTTGAACGTAAGAAATTTGATATATCAAAATGGTTCTTTGATTTGTTTGAAAATTATAAAAGAGTGGTTTACACGTGTTTAGATATATCTGGGAATGTTTTCGATTTGAGAAACATAGGTTCCTACGTGACTATGTTTTTAAAATTTGTCTAGTCTAGACTTGAAGTTATTCGCGTCTCAAAATCAATAAAATAAATAAATTATCATTAGGTATTTTCAAATATATAAACAACTAGCTTTTACCCGCGGCTTCGCTCGCGTCACAAAAGGATAAAAAGTAGCCTATGTGACATATACCAATACACACAGCGCCATCTATACCAATACTTTTGTTTTCCCTCGGGAATATAAATTTTTTCCGGGATAAAAAGTACCCTATGATTTAATCCAGACTACTAACTTTACGCTAGTCAAACTTGTATTGATAACTTTGCTCATAATTTCAAAACAAAATGTAGGACTGAAATCCTGGAACTAGGCCTTTCTGACCATACAGCACAATTAGTTGAACTTCCCATTGAAAAAATACCACTGTTACAATATTGGTACATTGAAAAACATGATTTCAATTTGGATAATGTTAAAAAGTTTCAGTCATACATAAAGAGCTTGTCATTTTCAAACATTTACCACACTGATGACCCAAACATAGCATATCAGACCTTTATTGATGATTTTAAACTTATTTATGACCTTTGCTTTCCTAAACGGAAATTTTTAATGAAAGTCTACAGTAAACCTAAATGGATATCGCGTGGAGTGAAGATATGTAGTAGAAGAAAAAAAGCTCTGCTGTGGAATTTCAGGCTTAATCCTACTGAACAAAATAAGGATAAATATAAAAGTTATTGTAAACTGTTTAAAAAAATCGTAACATTAACAAAAAGAGCACAAAATAACTATAATATTAAAACGTCACATAATAAATGTAAAACGGCATGGCGAATAATAAACAAAATGCGACTTAATGTGCCAAAAGAAACTATCAAAAATATAAAAATCAATGACACTAAGTATGTTACAAATCCAAAAGATTTAGCAAATTTATTTAATGATTATTTTATTGAAAAAGTGAAACCTATTTATGGAGCTGGAAAAAATGTGACAAATTTGATTAACCGTCCTCTTAACTCAATGTTTCTTGCACCTGTTTCGGCGCAACAGGTTAATAAAATCATTAAAAGTTTAAAAAATACAAATAGTGTGGGACATGACAGTATTTCCACGAAAATAATAAAATCTGTAAATGAAACCATCTCCCAACATCTGAGTCATATACTAAACCTATGCATTGCGAAGGGAATATTTCCAACACAGCTTAAAACAACAATCATTAAACCTCTGTTCAAAAAAGGGAATAGACAAACACTAGAAAACTATAGACCGATTGCACTTATACCAATATTTGCTAAAATATTTGAAAAATATCTGTACAGTGAAATGAACACATATTTAGAGAAAAATAATATTCTTTGCAATGAACAAAAAGGTTTTAGAAAAAACAAAACTATAAATATGGCCATTTATGAATTCATAGCCAATGTATTGTCTCATGTAGATAAATCGTCTCCAGTATGCTCAATATATTGTGACATGTCACAGGCGTTTGATTATGTGCACCATGGTATACTAGTGGATAAACTTGAAGCCAATGGCATAAGGGGAAATGTTTTGAAATTGGTACAATCTTACTTGACAAACCGAAAACAAGTAACTGAAATAAATAGAATTAATATAAGTACAAAAACTGAGGTAACATACACCTCTACAACACGTGATATATCTTACGGTGTTCCTCAAGGCAGCGTTCTGGGGCCACTCTTATTTATTATTTACATAAATGACTTGCCAAAAACAATAACTCAACCTATGACATTGTTTGCCGACGATAGCACAATTATAATTCCGTGTAATGACATCTACCAATATAATTTAGACATTAACAATTCATTGACATCTGTAATTTCATGGCTTGATAATAATAATTTAAAAATAAATTTGACGAAAACTAGTATAATGCATTTTGGACAAAGATTATGTAATCCACTGAATGTAAATTTAACTCACGATAATTATAATGTGCAAGAAGTAACTGATGCGAAATTTCTTGGTTTAACGATTGATAGCAAATTAAATTGGAAAGAGCACATAACCGCATTAAGTAAAAAAATTAGTAGTTTATCGTATGTCCTGTATAGCTTAGGTCCAATAATTAACATCGAGGCATTACTTTCAGCATATCACGGTCTTGTCGAGTCTGCTCTGAGATATGGTATAATTTTTTGGGGTAACTCGACAAACAAGGACATATATTTAAATTGCAAAAGCGGTGCGTAAGAGCCATGTTCCGTAAACAGAGTTCGGAGAGTTGTAGGCCATTATTTATAACGCATAAAATGCTGACAGTGCCATCACTCTATATCTTAGAAGTAGCACTGTTTGTTAGAAGCAACTCTCACTTATTTCCCACTCTGGCTGATAAAGTAAAACGAAATCGACGTGACAACAATCGACTATGTATTCACCCATCTAAAACAGCACTAATGCATAAAAGCGTGATATGTATGGCTCCCATAATTTATAACAAAATTCCTAAAGAAATTATTAAATTAAATTTAAACTTATTCAAACAAGCGTTGAAAAAACTACTAGTTAATAAATGCTATTATAGTGTTCATGACTTTGTAAATGACAAGTGTTTGTAATTTTTCTTTGTTGTCCCTGGTCAGGAGGTTTGAGTCTCTTATAGGAATGTTACAATTTAAAAGTTTAATAACTGTTATAATTGGATTTAATATTATATTCCACATTTGTACACCAGAAATGGTTAAACATGTTGATACTATGCTCACTGCTCATCTGTACAACTAATAATGTGCATTCTATGATGTATTATTATTTAACACGTGTTTTTGCAAATAAATAATCTTTGTCTTTGTCTTTGTCTTGTCTTACGTCTGCAAAAATTCAATGCAATCGGTTTAGTAGTTACGGCGTGAAGTCGGAACAAACAAACAAACAAACTAACTCACTTTCCGATTTATAATATTACTAGTAAGGATTACATTGGTTAGGGTTTTATATTAGGTACTAGCGGACCCAACAGACGTTGTCCTGCATATCCACTTGAATGTATAAACAAAAATTCATTCAAATTAGTTCAGCTGTTTAGGATAAATAACCTAAACATCGACTGCAGCGCCATCTGAAGGGCTGATTTGTGAATCTAAACCATTCCCAGATCCCCTTGACCACACTCAAAAAATTTCATCAAAATCGGTCCAGTCGTTTGAGAGAAGTTCAATGATATAAACACTCACAGAAGAATTATATATATAAAGATTGAGAATTTTATCACAATTGACATTCATTTGTCACTAATATTACCATGTGTCCCAAAGCCGTCCCCAGGGCTTTTATTCTCGCGAGATGGTCTCAATCGTTCCAGATCGATAGTATGGTTCAACCCCTTCTATTTTTGAAGTCTGTTAATTAACTAGTTGAGTACCGTCATTATAGACACAATTAAAGAACAATAGGTTGCGGTTACCGGTGACCGCTCGGTGTTTTATATACTAAAACAGTTTAATATACTAAAACCTACTCCTAAGTGTCATTTTTTTAAAAACCGGATTGAAATGACTGCACGATTAGCGCGGTGGCTGGGCAACTGGCTGCCGCGCAACGTGTCGCGGGTTCGATTCCCGCACGGAACAATTCTTTGTGTGATCCACAGATTGTTGTTCCGGGTCTGGGTGTCATGTGTATGTGAACTTGTGTGTTTGTAAACTCACCCACGATACAGGAGAAAATCCTAGTGTGGGGTAACGTTTTTTTAAAAAGAAAAAAAAAATCGGTTTAGACAATGGCGCACAAACATACATGAATGTAGGTATGTCACGGAAGAAGTCAAACTGACAACATTTTTGAAGTTGGTTGAAAACCTCAATGATTTTGAGTTGTCTCGATGTACCTACGACACAAAATCTCTCGATTTATTTTACCTTATGTACCAATTTAAAACAAATCGGACATAGCCCTCATGTGGATACATGGACTTAAATTATGATCAGTTCAAAACCCTACCTACCGCTTCAATGATTAAAAGGCGTAATATTACGCTAAGTCGTCTAATTTCTTTTCTATTCACGAGATAACAATATCGAGTATACGGTAGTTTTGTTATGCTGATAAACGTATTAAATAAAATCTAACTTACCCACATATTTTCCCACAAACATTCTCCTTCACACAGTCAAAACAGAACGACGAAAAAAATTTTAAAATCCGTGTATTTGCTGCCGTAATTAATCATTTAACTATTTTGCAATGAAGTGATCAATGTTTTTACCATCTTATAGTGTTTATTCCCGATATCATACTAACCAGTATTTACCAGTTTGTTTATAAATGTTTCAGTGAATAATTGAATCATGTTCGTTTACACTTCGCTTTTGTTTTTTGTGTTATTTTGTTTGAGGGGATTGCGATACAATGCTGATTCTGTCGTGGATGGCACTGAACTGCTTATGACTTTTTTGGTGAGTAAAATATTCATTTACTAGCTTTTACCCGCGGCTTCGCTAGCGTCACAAAAGGACAAAAAGTAACCTATGTGACATATACTAATACACACAGCGCCATCTATACCAATACTTTTGTTTTCCCTCGGGAATATCAAATTAAAAAGGTTAAAAAGTACCCTATTATTTAATCCGGACTTTTAACTTTATGTATGGAAAAATTCAAAGCAATCGGTTTAGTAGTTACGGCGTGATAGTGGAACAAACAAACAAACAAATAAACTCACTTTCCGATTTATAAAATTATAAGTAAGGATAGTAAGGATAAGGATAGTAAGGATGTATCATCATTTCAACATGATTTTAAGTTCTTTTTAACGGTTAAAGCCAAGGATACATTATTATTTTACTCTATGTTTAGGAGACAAATGTCCTACGACGCGTGTCCTCAGTGACGTTGGGTTCGCGACGTTGCTAGACTTTGGTCGACATTTCTGGCAACGTCAGCGTCGCTGTGGGCATAAGACGCGCGTTGTTGCCTTATGTCGGGCGGTCGTAGGACATTCGCCTCCAAGTATGGCTTCAATTAGGGACTAGTGTATTTTCTATATACGTAGGTACACGTTAAGTTATAGTAATCTTTCAAACAGCAATTGATATTCGAACTCTTACCCAAATTAGATTAAGCTATTAAAAACAATTAATAACTTAATGTGAGTGCTTTTATTAAATGGAGACATATGATGATGATCATATCAGCCACAGGACGTCCACTGCTGAACATAGACCTCAACCAATGACTTCCAGATAGGCCGGTTGGAAGCGACCGGCATCCAGCAGCTCTCTGCGACTTTAATCAGGTCGTCTGTCCACCTTGCGGGTGGACGTCCTACGCTGCGCTTGCCAATACGTGACGTGGCCTCCACTCGAGAATCTTGCTTTAATCATGGAGACATATGATGATGTATTTAAAATATATTTTTATTCTTGCAATAAATTAATTAAGTTTTAAAAACATATATGACCTATATGGTCGTTTACTAATTGCGATCACAACGACATTTCCCGAGCACCGGGACAGCAATCATTCTCTTGCCCTGGGGACAATAGTGATTTACTTTCTCAGACGAAATCACCTCTGTTCATCTGTCGACGTCTTCTGACTAATGTATAGGGCCCAATTATTATCCCAATAGTCTTATGACAAATTAAATAAATATTGCAGGTTCATCGACATGGTGATAGGACTCCGGTACCATCATCTCTGGTATTTACTCAACATGCTGATGAGCTTAAAAAGGCATCCGCTAGATATGGATTTGGACAGCTAACTAACGTAAGTTAAAAAAAAAGATTTATAACTTTATTATTATTGCCTGAATGATTTATTGTGCTGTTTTCGCTTGTTGACTTGTTACCCTATCGTGGATGATATATGGACCCAAATCCTGTTGATAAAATGATATAGGGCCTATGTTCAATCATTTTTTCATCCGTAACCACGCAGATACTAATCCGCATTGAGCAAGCGTGGTGATTAATGCTCAAACATTCTACGTGTGAGAAGAGGCTTTGCTCAGCAGTCGGCACTTATAGGCTGTTGATGATATAGGAACCACTTTAGTCTTCATACGAGACCTCTGGATAATCCCTATCCTTCTTCTTCTTGTGGAGCCACTTGATTCCTTAAGAGTGGGTGTAACTTAAATAAAATCTTTATTCCAGTCTGGCAAACGGCGTTCCTACCAGCTGGGCCAGTTCATCAGACGGCGCTATGACAAGCTCTTGTCCCGGACCTATAATAAGTCAGAGATCTACGTCCGCTCCACTGACTTCACCAGGACTAAGATGACGGTGCTGACTGCGCTGGCTGCCATCTACCCTGCCACAGCGGACAACTGGAGCACTAACATCAACTGGACACCTGTCCCGTACACCACTGTGCCAGCAAAATACGACTTTGTGAGTTAGAAGTTTGTCTAGTAAATGTCATTGGGATTTGCAGCTCTAATGGTACGCCATTGTCGCGGATAACATTACGGGTTACCGGGTGCAGGAGAAGGAACGGGGTGGTTTTTAGTCATTAAGAGTCTAATACTCCGAATTATTCGAAGATTTTCCCCCCTAAAAAAATGGTACGCTTGATCTTGAGTTTTTTGCATAGAACTGGCCAGTCACTTTGTGGATATTATCACTCCACCTAGCTGAGAGACGTCTTAGACTATGGTTTGCGCCCTACAATATATTATGGGCCCTATTATGTTTTTTCTTGATTAGGTGTATAAATAAATAAAATTAGCTGCCTTGTTCTTGTTGGTAATTTTGACAATGATCGATAACACTCAAGTTTGGTTCCCGATAGCCGAAAGAGAGATTAATTTGCCTTTCTAAACTAATAATGGTAGCATCTAGGTGATTTTGCTTTATGTTTAGTAATAGATAGAATTTGACTTTTCTGTCTATGTAGGTATAGTCTCACTTCATATTACACTAGCTTTTGCCCGCGACTTATTCCGCGTTGAATATAATTCCTGTTTTATCCCATGGGAGCATTTAATCAGGATAAAAAATCCTATTACATAACTCAGCCCAAACCCTGCCTGTGTACACAATTTAATCAAAATCCGTTTAGTAGTTTCAGCGTGATTGACGAACAGTCATCCAATCAAAGTTTCTATCTCCATAGGAATCTACACCTTGGAATGAGCAAATAGCTTCACTTTTAATTTTTTTTTGTTGACGTTCAAACGTGCCATTCTGGCCTGATTGAAATAAATGATTTTAACTTTGACTTTGAATTTGACTTTCACATTTTTAATATTTGAGTAATAAATCACTATTATACGACATCTTATCTCGTATGTCTCATTAATAATAATTATTTTCTTTTCCAGAACTTGCCAGTAGTAAACTGCCCGAAATTCAAAGATTCTTTCTTCAGGCCTAAAATCACATCAGAAGTTCCTGAGTTAGACCTGTACGCAGACATTTTGGAGCATTGGTCCAATATAGTGGGATACGACCTAGCATTGGAACCATTAATAATACCGTACGCTTTATACGACCTCTACGCTTGTCAGGTAATTATTTTTTTTTAATCCACCATTACAGAACGAGAATCACCTTTAGCTAATTAGAGATAACAGATGGAAGTGACAGAAGTTATTGCATGCCCACTACCGCTATAATTCGGAAGTTTCCAGGGTATAAAAATTAAAAATCTAATTAGTCCGTCATTTAGATTATGAAAAAATATTATTAAGTTCGCAATAATTTAGGTCGCAAATGCGACTGCCGGGCAAGGGGTCTCGGTTTCAATTCCCGGGTCGGGCGAAGTACTACTGGGTTTTTTAAAAAAAATCTCAGTGGTAGCACGGAGTCTGGAATTGTGCCCGGTATATGGCAATAGGCTCACCCCCTACTACATGGGACTCATAACATAAATAGTGAAAAGTGAGTGTTACATTGTACAGTGGCATTAAGTGCCGTAATGTGCACCTGTCTACCACTTCAGGGATAAAAGACGTGATGTTATGACATGTAACAATACACATTTCTCCACAGATCAGTTTAGGAATTCCCCCGGAAGACGACATCGTAGATATTTATCCGGAGATAGAGAAGATAGCTACTATAGCTATTAAGACTATCCTCTATACTGATGACATGAGAGCCCTGTCTGCTGGTAAGAAATTAAAATATTTAGGGCCGAAACACATAACCGCGTTGCGTCGTCGCAACGCTTAAATCGGCAGTTTGCGTTGCGGCGCCGCAACGCAGCGCTCATTCCAGCATAGCAGAGTAATGTCTTCTTAATAACAAATAAGCAATAAGTGTTTCACGATGATCCATGGCATAGACACGTCTATCCACAATAAAAAATCACGACGAACCGGTTATCCTACCGAACGACAACAAAACGCTCTTTTTCACGACGCCACAACGCCGCAACGCAAACTGCCGATTTTAGCGTTGGGGCGACGCAACGCGGTTATGTGTTTCGGCCCTTATACAGACACGAACCTAGACTGGTCTAATTTGATAACAATGAATTACGTCTGTCATAAAGAGGAACTGGTCATGATTATCCATCATCATTGTCAACAGCCTATAAGTGGCCACTGCTGACCAAAGGCCTCTTCTCACAAGCAGAAGGTTTAAGCATTAATCACTACGTTTGTTCAATGTGGGTTGGCGAATTCAAAGTTATAATTTAAGCCCAGGTTTCCTCACGATGTTTTCCTTCTCCGTTTGTCAGTAGTGTCTAAATAATTTTAGAAAGTACATAAAACTCGAGAAATGGTACTTGCCGTTGGTAGGTTTTGATTTTGAACGCCTTCATACATGAGAAGCGGGCGTCCTAAATCTCCGGGCCATCACGACATTTTTATCATACTAATATTACTGATACTTCGTCCGGAAAATGGAACTTAGGAGTTCAGTAATCACATATATGATCACTCGAATGAACAGGCAATGAATTACCCTCTAACCATCTCATTTGGTCCTCACCAGGTGTGCTCCTGAACAAGTTTTACACCGTCGCTGACAGGATTATTGCTGGACAAGACGTGCAGAAAGTTCACATATACTCCGCTCATGATTTGAACGTGTTCGCCTTCGAGGCAGCTACCAAAGTGCTCAACCCCCCAGGAGTTCCCAAATACGCATCAGCATATGCTTTAGAATTGAGGAAAGTGATAGATACTGGAGAATATGTTGTCGTGGTAAGGAATCCTATTAAAGAATAACTTTATTAATACAAATACATAATAATTATATTTTTTTTTTTTTTTTTTTAAGGGGGGAAAATCATCGAATGACTGCTCCCGCCTGGGTGAGGCGGAAGGGAGTGTCAGACTCTTACTGACTAAAAACCACCCCGTTCCTTCTCCTGCACGTCGAGCCGGAGCCCCGGTTACCCGTTAGGTTCTCCGCGACTCCGAATCGGCATCGGCCCTATTGGGCCCCATCTGTGGTGGTCTGATGGCTCTTTGAGGCGCGCGCGGAACGCGACGCGCCGTACGCTCGGGTCTGTTTCTGGTCGGACGGGGAGCCACCCATGCTCGCCGTCCGCAGGCCCGCGCTTACGGTGGCCGGAGATCGTCCCGCGATCCCCGACGCCCGGTGTGTCCTTCGCGATGGCTGGGTCGCGAGGAGGCAGCGCTTCGCTGCCTCACGCGTCCCGCCTCCTCCTTAGCTAGCATGACTGCTTCGCAAAAGGAGGAGACGGCATCCCAGTCCCCCTCGCTCCGCATCATGGCCTGCACTAGGCCCGGACGCGAGAGGTCGCCATCGCCGATCACTTCCCTGAGGGCACGGCGGTGCTCAGCCCACGCAGGGCATTCCGCTACGGTGTGTTCCACCGTGTCCTCAGGGCGGTCCTCGCAGTGATGACACCCGGGCGTTTCCTCCCGCCCCATCAGACACAGGTACCTCCCGAAACTTCCATGTCCGGTGAGGACCTGCGTCAGGCGGTAGGTGAGGACGCCGTAGCGTCTCTCAAGCCACTCCTCAAAGAGGGGACTTACCGCTGCAATGGCAGCGAGCCCAGCCCTCGGTTGCGACAGTCGTTGCTGCCATTCCGCCATGAGATCGCGCCGGAGCTCATCCCGCCACGCACTTATCTGGCGCGGCAGCGGAGTTTCGCCCCGGCGACGTGCCTCCGCGCGCATGTTATACACGCGCGCGAGCACCTTCGCCTCCAGATCCCACGGCGGTAATCCGGCAAGATAATAATTATATAAGAGTACAATATCCTCTATAGATTGTGATTATCGATGTGATTCGGATATGTACAGTGGATTTTTTTTCAACTATTCTAGTCTTTGCTTGGCCTTTTAACCTCTTAACTGCCAGTACCTATATGAGATACAATGAAAATTAAATTATGTCTCACTTAGATCTAAGTTCATACCAAGGTCTTAATTTTATGTAACTTAACACTTAACAGTGCCCATAGACAGTCAGGCTCTTTGTCGTTCGGTTTTCAAACATAGATCATTACTATGTTTATACAAATTCAATCATCGTTTCGATTTAAACTTTGAACAGCGCCATCTCTTGACTTCCTGTCGTATTTTTATCGAGTCGTATTGCCAGTTGTAAAATAAGGCACCGTTTTAATAACTATATCATAATTTTCAGCCTGTATACCTGAACAGTCCCAAAACAGAAGTGATCACATACCTGGAGATTGAAGATTGCGGGCAGATATGTGCCTACGACACCTTCCGAAGCATTACTTATAAGTATAGCTTGAAGGAGAAAGAATGGAGAGCCGAGTGTGGCTTCGTGGATGACTTCAGTGTTATTATTGACTAAAGCCTCGTATTCATTACGCAACAATGAAGATGATGACAATATTTTTAAACCTTCATTGTATACACGACAGATTTGATTCTTTCTGACGCGCAATACGTCACATTCAACATGTTCGGGAATGTTGTAGAACATGACGCAATGTTGCCAACAGCGCGCAACATTACGCAGCATGTTGTTTGTTTCGGTACAACATTATTTCAAGCATCGAATGTTGCGTAGTGGACACAAGGCTTATAAATTATTTTGATTAAATAATGTAATGAATTTTGTAATGAGACTGAAATAAATGACTATTTTACTGTGAATTTTTACATTAGCGCTTCGTATTATTTTGCTTAGTAAATAAACAAGATAAGCATTACTTTAGTTTCAAGAGTATTCCTTTTTTTAAAACGTTGCCCCGGGTTTACAAACATAGTAGCAGGTTCCTCAGCCCCTGCACCAATCCTGACGCCTATAGTTCAATAGAGGAGCTAGTAAAAGGTAATCTTAGGTAATTATCACATCGACATTTAACCAGTTATTATAACTGTTATAATGAGGACTGCCTCGTTGTCGAGTGGTCGCAAGTGCGACTGCCGGGCAAGGGGTCTCGGGTTCGATTCCCGAGTCGGGCAAAGTACTACTGGGTTTTAAAAAAATTCTCAATGGAGCACGGAGTCTGGAATTGTGGTGCCCGGTATATGGCAATAGGCTCATCCCCTATTACATGGGACTCATAACATAAATAGTGAAAAGTGGGTGTTACACTGTAATGTGCACCTCTGCCTACCCCTTTCGGGGATAAAAGGCGTGGTGTTATGTTATGTTATAATGAGGTCATTTTGATTTGGATCGAGCTATTTACCCTGCACAACAGTGACCTTTTAGTGTGGGAGAGCCATGCTTTGGCACGAATGGGCCGGCTCGACCGGAGTGATACGACAGCCTCACAGAAAACCGACGTGAAGCAACGCTTGTGTAAACTTACCTAATTATTACCCTCCCCTTTCTCAATCTCCTCAATCCCTGATTCCCCGACGATCCTCAAACTCCTAATCCCAAAATGCCAGTAACGCACTTGTAACGCGTCTGGTGTTCCAGATGTCCATGGGTGACGCCGATTGCTTACCATCAGGTGATTCGTCTGCTCTAGTTTACCGACTTATGCCATAAAAAAAGAAACATATTGAAATTATTCTAAAGTCTAATAATTGTTTAAAGCCTGCTTTTTGGGCATAATTAAATATCCCAACAATACAATTGGGATGATGACAGGGTATGAAAATTAAAAATATAATTAGTCCGTAAGTTAGGTAATGAAAAATATTAGACACGTATTTTTTTATTTTGTCGTATAATAAACAATACTTATATAAAACGAATCGAAGTTTAGGAATGGGGGCTAAAACGTCATTTCTACGTATAAAATGTACATAGAAGTGACGTCACGCGATATTTCGATTCTGTAAGAAAATAAAAAATACGTGTCTAATGATATAAAATAATCTACCAGACAGACATTAAAATAAAAATTAGGCATCTACCCTATTCCGTCTGTCGCGGAGAACCTAACGGGTAATCGGGGCTCCGGCTCGACGTGCAGGAGAAGGAACGGGGTGGTTTTTAGTCGGTAAGAGTCTGACACTCCCTTCCGCCTCACCCAGGCGGGAGAAGTCATTCGATGATTTCCCCCTTTAAAAAAAAAACTATTCCGTCTAGATTTCATTGCATTCATATATTCAAATTAACACTTTTATTGTGACACTTAGCTAAAGTGTTACAATAAAAGTTACAATAACAATATTCTACGACTTCATTTAGTTCCCTAGTTACACAATAACTAATGAATGTTCATAATTCTAGCATGAAACAGTCAAGTTGCCAGTCATAAGATATATGTACCTACTTATGTTAAACTATTCTCAGCAAGAGTTACCTTCCCCGCCATAATTTCCTAAGGGAGTTCTTTTATAAATTACGATAATAAATTGAAGAATTCTATGAAAACAGATGTGTTATCCTTAACCATCAATTTTCAACTTTACTGTCTTGTAATAAAGTAGAAAATGTATAACAGAATGGTTTAGCTTGATTCGCTGGTATACTTGTAATTTTGGTAGGTACTAAGATACCACTGAAAGTCCTGTAAGTCCGACCATCTAGTACTGTATTCCAACTATATTATTTTTAAAAACATCCAAACAAATAAAGTCTTGTTGTCCCGTCCCAGGGACATCACTAGATCCAACCAATAACGATGGTCAAAAGAAGAATTTATAAAATACATTAGAATAAGACATTCACTGTTTTAACAGAATATGAATCAAGTGATCTTAAAAGTAAAAGTAACGAGGTCATGGTTTTATTATTATTTAAAAATATTTTTACAAAATGGCAAGGTTTCATGAAAAGAGAAACAAAGAATTTATAAAAATACAGTAAAAATTTATTACAAAACGGATGGTTTAAAATATTTTTATTATTTCAGTCTTTTAGATAAAGTCGTCAAGTATTTTTAGTCGACTTTCAAGTTATCTCAAGTTAACTCATGTTATGTTTAGTCGACTGATGAGGTATCAAAGACCATATCATCGGAGAAGCCGCAGGCAGTCCTCCAGTCATCTTCATTCATGACGATGTCAGAAGTGACGCTTCGGAAGCTCTCGTACGCACATCTCTGGCCGCACTCCTCGATCTCGAGATACGTGATCACATCTTCACTGGGAGTACGCAGGTACGTCGGCTGAAAAGGGCGATACAGTTATTGAAGCAGTAGATATTTGTCTAACCTTCTAAACAGTTGGGTTACTTAACAAAATACGTATAATATTAGCGACGACTAAAAGGGAGCAATTATACGCGTCATTACTTCTAGATCGCATTGTAAACATCTATGTCAGTCAGTCAAATGCACAAAATATCTGACGTCAGGTTCCATTAAGAATGGAGTGTCAGATTTAGTAAGTGTAAGTGTCTAAGCTCCTGATCTTCCTTTTCCTCGCCCTTTCTGGGCAAAAAGATTTAGTTTATGTGACCCGCTGGGTACAAGTGAAGCGAAGGTAAGAACTATGTAAATCTAAATTGTATCTCATTTTATTCCACTTACCACCACAACATAATCCCCAGTCTCCACCACTTTCCTCAATTCCAAAGCATATGCTGACGCGTATTTGGGAACTCCTTGAGTGTTGACCACTTTGGTAGCTGCCTCGAAGGCGAACACGTTCACATCATGAGCGGAGTATATGTGAACTTTCTGCACGTCTTCTCCAGCAATGAGCTGGTCAGCTACAGTGAAGAACTGGTTCAGGAGTACACCTGTTAAGGAATAGCCAATGATTAAAGGGACTTTTGACTTTTAACTATTTTTCTTCAATAAAAGACGTCAGTTCAATGTAGAAACTAACCTCCAGACAGAGCTCTCACTTCTTCAGGGTCGTACATAGCTTTGATAGCTATACCGGCAATCTTCTCTATGTCAGGGTAGATAGCTGCGATGTCGTCATCAAGAGGAATTCCTAAACTCATCTGTGAAAAGGAGGCGACACATATTATGCTGATGTTTTTTAAAGGGTTTTACCAACTACTAATTGTATCGTCATTTTGGAACTTTAGGCGAATTGCTAAGGACATGTTTTCAAGTATCGTAAATAGGTTATAGTACGATGGGTGGCCTTATCGTTCTTCCTTACCGGCCTTCCAGTTCTCTCTTTTTGGCAACCTTAAAAAGTTACCTTAATCCATAAAATGTATGTATTATCAAGTACTTTGTTAATCTCAGTTGTGACGTCATCAAGTAAATATTTGACCACAACAATACTTGAACTTTATTCATCGCCTATAAGTACAAACGCCCTGTCATCCTAAATGTATATGATGCAATAATAAAAGTAATTACCTGGCTGACGTACAAGTCGTTCAAAGAGTAGGCAAGCATTAAGGGTTCAGCTGAAATATTGTATCCTACTATACTGGACCACTTGGCCAACACATCTGCGTACTGATCTAATTCAGGCACTGTTGCTGGTGTACCAGATGCATAGGAAGCTGCTGTGAATTCCGGGCAGTTTAATACAGCCAAGTTCTGGAACATTAATGATCAGGTTAATAGCGAAGTCTGATGATGTAAGAGCACTATACATTGGCTTATTGTTAGAATGAATTTTATACGAATATTGTTTAACGGGTTGGTCTCCACAGATATTATTTATTAAACCAGTGATCAACTCACAAAGTCGTATTTAGCAGGCACGGTGGTGTAGGGAACCGGGGTCCAGTTAATGTCTTCGCTCCAGTTGTCCTCGGGAGCAGCGTAGATAGCAGACAGCGCAGTCAGCACTGTCATTTTAGCCCTAGTGGATTCAGTGGAGCGGATGAAGATCTCTGATTTGTTGAAGTTTGGAGACAGGAGCCCGTCGTAGCGCCGTCTGATGAACTCTCCCAGCTGGTAAGCACGACGTTTGCCGACCTGGAATGAGAAGGTCTTTTTACACAACTCTTTTACACAGATTTTAATCAAATTATAATTCTTTCAAAACTGGGGCTGATACATGAACGGAAAGTTAAACAAGTATGTAAGTATTGTAATTTCTCCTTGTTCTCAGCATATAAAAATGTAAATCCATGTGTATACATGTGTAATTATTAATATGTATTACGTACATCAGTCAGCTGGCCGTATCCGTATGTAGCTGAAGCATCCTCCAGTTCCTCAGCACGGGTGCTGAGAGCTAGGGTCGATTCGATTGGAGTCCTGTCACCATGTCGATGGATCTGAAATAAATATTCATCAAATATAAATTAATTGTGTTTATTACAAAAGAAATCGTACAAATGTATTGGCAACGCTGTAATGTCGAGTAAATGCAGTGTGTATTGACACCAACACTTATGTATGGTAGTGAATCATAGGTGTGGCAGAAGAAACATGAAAGCAGGATTAATGTGCGATGGAAATGAAAGCCCTGAGAAGTATGTGTGGAGTGAAATTCAGTGATCGAGTGAAAAATAGTGTTATTAGAGAAAGATGTGGATTAAAATATAATGTAGTGACAAGGATTGAAAAGGGAATGTTACGCTGGTTTGGACATGTACAAAGAGTGGATGAAAGTTGAAGAAGTAAACAGAGCTGATATAAACCGGGCCTTCGATAGAGAGCGTCCTAGAAAGATATATAGTGACCAGATTGGCGATATATTAAAGAAGGGCCAAATTAAAAGTACCCTTAACCGACGAGCTTGCATGAAAAGATTGATGACTGTTGATGTAGCGAAAGAGGTAAGTAGGAATTGTAGCAATTGGCGTTCCATAGTCTCTGCCTACCCCATGGGAGACAGGCGTGAAGTTATGTTTGTGTGTATTGGTAACATTGGCAATCATGAAGTTTTGCTCCTTTTATATGAGTAGTTTGTTTCTTGTGACTTTATCATACGTTGTCGATACTTCTGTCACTTGTTGTCATTTCATTGTTTTAATATTTCTTTCTTTTATCCTTTTGATCAATTAATATGTTGATCAGCTTTTTACTTTCAGTTGTTCTTCAAATGGAAATTATATTTAAATCAAAGTTGTGTGTTGTGATGTGTTGTTTCAAATGTTTCAATTACCTTTAGTTTTAAGGTTTTCTATGCACTACACTAATAATTAAAAATCTAAGACAAAAATTATTGTTCTGGTACTCACCAGAAAGGTCAGGAGAAGCTCAGTACCATCCACCACAGAGTCAGCACTGTAGCAGAGTCCACTGAGAGATATGAGCAGCACACTGAGTATTGCGGAGTTCATGATGTGATAGTCTCTGATAGCCACTGAGCTATTGCAATACACAAGCTGAATGCTGCTATATACCGATTAATGACGATACACGAATATATATACAAATTTTTATTTATTGATCAATTCTTTATCAATGACTAAAGTTGAGATAACAAAAATGCGAAATTAAATTCGTAAAACGTCAGATTAGACGTGAATCACGAGGACGGTACCTTTATCTTTTATTATCTTTTGACTAATATTAGTAAATTATTGGAGATTGTCTGTATGTTTATCGATGTTGGTAGGTGTGTTTGTGATTGTGGCTATCAGTTTCAGCAAGGCCTGGCAGAGGCTGTATGCGAAGAGCTGAAGATCGAGTGGCGCGCTGTTGGAGATCAGAGAGGCTTTTATCAAGAAAATGGAAAGACCAAGGTGATGATCAAGATGATGAAAAAAACGTCGATTTAATTTCGATATCGTAAATAGTAAAAATACTTTAAATAGTGATCACAATGGCAATCTGTCGAGTACTAACACTGTTTGAATCCTGCGGCGAGCTAAAGTGAATACTATTGAGTTTTTGGGTTTTAACATAATATAACATAACATGACACCTTTTATCCCCGAAGGGGTAGGCAGAGGAGTACATTATGCCATTATACAATGTAACACCCACTTATCACTGTTTATGTTATGAGTCCCATGTAACAGGGGGTGAGCCTATTGCCATATACCGGGCACAATTCCAGACTCCGTGCTACAACTGACAATATTTAAAAAACCCGGTAATACTTTGCCTGACCCGGGAATCGAACCCGAGACCCCTTGCCCGGCAGATGCACTTACGACGACTCGGCCAACGAGGCGAGGAGTTTTTGGGTTTTTTATATATTTTTGTAATATCACAGATTACAGAAGTGTACCTACCCAATGTTCTTACGGCACGGCACATTACTAGACTGAAAACAAATGATGAAAATGAATGTATTCTTTTATGGAATACGAGGCAAACGAGCAGACGTGTCACCTGATGGTAAGCGATCAGCGCCGCGTACGGTCACCCGCGAAACCAGACCTAGCTTCTGTCTACCTCTTTTTTGAGTAATAAACGGTTGTATGTTATGTTAGTCGTGTTTTTCGTAAATCGCCAGACATGTATCACGCCCCCATCAGGTTTCCGATAAAAACGAATTCTTGTTTGTCATTGTGTATATAAATTATAGTTAATCCTACTCTTACTCGCTGTATTTATGACTATCTAAATACTTACCTTTGCTTATCTATACGTATTTTTTTTAAGGGCGGAAGTTAATCGAGTTACTGCTCCCGCCTGGGTGAGGCGGGAGGGAGTGTCAGACTCTTACTGACTATAAACCACCCCGTTCCTTCTCCTGCACGTCGAGCCGGAGCCCCGGTTACCCATTAGGTTCTCCGCGACTATCTATACGTCGTATACGTAATCGCTAATAAGGGAAGAAAGTTTAAATATTCCTTAAAGGAGTAAAATTGGTACAGTCCAAGTCCTCAGAAACAGTATGTTCTTTTGCTATAAGTACATAAATGAAGTACCCTACCCTGAAAGAAAGTTAAGTATCCGATTCTCATCACTTATAGCCTGACTTCACCATAGACACTCTTATTTCCAAATTACAAAATCAATTAAGGATAAACTTTCGCTCAAACCTCACAAAATAACTAGACCAATGAGAATAAAAAACCCATAATTATCAAATCATATTAAAGTCTTAAATATAAAATATTGTACAGTCACGATGATTGAGCCTGTCTACGGCCGATGTTATCAGATTTATGATTTTCGTTTAAAATACTAGAAATAATCTGTGTAAGTTCCTTTAACATTGTTACTTTAAAGGGGGAGGACGTGGACCATAGGCCATATTATTTGTAAATAAAAATATTTCTAAATATACTTTTTAAATTAGTTTTCGTGTCTATTTTAATATAGCACTGTTGAAGGCATACATTTTTGTAGCGGAGTTGGTTGAGGTTGCTGTTATTCGTGATCCAAAGACATCTTTTTTTAAACTTAAATGGCAGATTTAAAAGATCAAAGATCAAATTGATCCTTTTGTATGAATGTGAGACAGCACTGAAAATACTGATCAGACTTTCTATCTAATAACTCAATACAATCATCATATGATTCAGAAAATGTGGTGTATATCCAAACCCACTATGAGACCGCAGGACGTGTAGATTATTATGAAATTATAGTGTAACGCATATTATCAAACTGTATGTGGTTTCCGCTTCCCGCGGGCGCTGTCATGAAGTTTCCGCGACAACGGACGGGCAAATAGTACAAATATACGGATTGTAATTGCCCGAAGCCTACAGTTAATCGTCGAGCGATTTTAGATCTAAAACCGGTGACAGTAAAATGTTGAATATTGTTATGGCCAATGTTTTAATCATTTCAAAGAAATAAGTTTATTTGTATGAAATGCAGTGGTAGTGAACGAGTGAAGTCGCGAATAAAAGCTTGTAGTTTTAGGTACTTTCGTTGTTTAATTTACTTAAATGGACAGCTTATACTTTATTCTTAAGTGGTGGTTATTAGATGTTGGATATTCAACAAAATCAGTCTCTTTGTGACTGTATAGTTTTTTTCTATGTTTATAATTATGTATAATTTACCAATATTTATACACCGTAGCAATTGGCATTCCTATGTATCTCGAATATTTATTCATAAGTACTTTATGATAGGCCCTGACTCTTCTGAATACCAAATTACCCTCCACAGAAGCGCACTAAGGAGGTAATAACCTTATTGTTAAAACGCTAATTCACTAGTATGGTTATTGGATGGACGGCTATAAACCTACAAAAGCGACTGACCTCTAAGTTTATTTCGGTCGTATATAGTAAGTATTACTTCTTAGAGAAAACTGCTTGGAAATCAGGCTCATCGCTTTCTAAAATCGCTCGCATGCATTGCTAAATCTTGCTTTAATTATTACTAGCGACCCACCCCGGCTTCGCACGGGTGCAATATGCATGTATATATATAATAAACCTTCCTTAAGACTTTGACTGCCAATAAAAAACTGTTGAAGGTAAATCTTCCGCTAACGCCGGTCACGGGTGACCCCCATGGCGTTCAACGTGTTAAGAACCACTCTATCTATTTAAAAAAACGCATCAAAATTATTTGCGTAGTTAGTTTGCGTAGACGGCGGATAGCGACTTTGTTTTATACTATGTAGTGATATCTAAGTGATAAGGAAAGGCAGAGGCGTTAATTTTAAGTATACTTACATTTTATATTGTTATCTATAGGGGTAGGCAGAGGTGCACAATTGCACATAATAAAGGTCACTTTTCCATTAAGTTAGGGGTGCTATGAAATAGAATGTACACCATTTCACCTTTTATGCTGTTAACAACTACTAATTTAGCCCAATGGGGTGCAATGAGAATTTTCAAAATCGTAACAGCCAATTATTTTACCTGACTTGAGAAAATGAACCCAATCTCTAGCTTGGAAGTTCCTCTTGCAATTACTCCGCCGAAAATGGAACAACCAATTAACTTAGATGAGTTAATAAACTTAATCATATCGTATTATTATCGAATGTTTATCATCGACAGAATCTACAATCTACAAAAGAGGTGTTGACCATAATCTCTATGCTTGGCAGGCGGTTTGGAGATTGTAATTTAATAATATCGAGGCTATTAGAAACGGGATCGGGTTAAAAGTAAAAAAGTCAAAGTATTTATTTCAATTAAACCATAAAATGGTACTTTTGAAACGTCAACAAATATAAAAATACTAGCTACTTCCGCTCGGTTTCACACGCTCTGCTCAGCTCCTATTGGTCGTAGCGTGATATTTTATAGCCTATAGCCTTCCTCGATAAATGGGCTATCCAACACAGAAATAATTCTTCAAATCGGACCAGTAGTTTCGGAGATTAGCGCGTTCAAACAAACAAACAAAAAAACAAACTCTTCAGCTTTATAATATTAGTATAGATAAGATAAGATTAGGCTTTAACAAGTACGTTTCCTTACGCCCGAGTACTGAAAGGAACTCAATTTTAAATTGTACATACTTAAATATCGTGCCATCTCTGTAATCGGCGCATCGTGTTCCGCCCGCGCCTCAAAGAGCCATCAGACCACCACGGATAGGGCCCAATAGCTAGGGCTGATGCTGAGCCGCGGACGACTTAACGGGTTGCCGAGGCTCCGGCTCGAAGTGCAGGAGTAGGAACGGGGTGGTTTTTAGTCAGTAAGAGTTTGACACTCCCTCCCGCCTCACCCAGGCGGGAGAATTTATTCGATAATTTTCCCCCTTAAAAAAAATGTCTGTCATTATACGAAGAATATGTAGTGAGAGAAATATAATTAAGCGCAACTTAAAATCGACTGACGTTTGAGTATTTGGACATTACACTCTTACTTCCCAACAGACAACAGACAATGTCGTGGTGGCTCGGAAGTTAAAAAGATGCCGCTTCTCATGAATGAGCGTGCGGGTTCGAAACCTACCAACGGCAAGTAACAATGTGACTTCTTCCGAGTTATATGTACTTTCTAAGATTATCTAGACACCACTGACAAACGGTGAAGGAAAACATCGTGAGGAAACTTGGGCTTAAAATTTCTAATTATAAGTTTGTAATCGCCAACCCGCATTGAGCAAGTGTGGTGATTAATGCTCAAACCTTCTCCGTGTAAGAAGAGGCTTAGCTCAGCAGTGGGCATTTATATTTATGGGCTGTTGTTGTTGTTCCCAACAGATTCGATTCCTGAATCAGATAAAATATTATAGCGATTTTCATTTTTCTAATTTCTATAACATAGAGTTTAGAATCGCTCGATACAATTAACCACCATGTCTTCTCTATATCTTCTCTTTATCTTTAAGACTAGACTTAGATGACGAGACTGCAAAAAGCTTTGAAAAACTGTATAATAATCAAGCCCATCGTAATAGTGAATGAGCCTCTATTATCACTATCAGACACCTGGCATAATAAATGATAACAAATTAT